TGCACCGTTTAGAGCTGAACTTTTGTCGGACACCGTTTCTATTTATATATATATATATATATATATATATATATATGTTTGTATATATATATACGTATCACTCATAAAGTGCTAACTACCCCACACCCAGATCATGGCAAGATAGATTTTTTCTAATTTATCCCATCCCCCACGATTCAACAACTCAAACATGAATTAAGAACCCTTTAATATCCCAAATAACCATTTAATACCCCAAAGAACCATATGAAAAAGGATGGTTCTTCGTGGAACCACACTGCCTTTTAAAGAACCATTTAAGAACCTTTTTTTTTCTGTATATATACCAGAATGAAGCGTGGAGCTATACCTTTCTTTAACAGCACCCGAGCACCCGAGCTAGCTATACTTGTTGACCGTTAGCAAGTCAACTAGCTTAGAAACCACGTTCCCAACTGCAATAGTACTCAACATGCCACTCAACATGGTGAACATGGAACTTGTGTAGCATGCCATGTTGAAAATGCAACCGTTGATGTCTCTCTCATTCATAATTGTGCTTATCTTTCCCCTGTTACTACTGAGGTCAAATCCTGTCACTGAGGATGAACCATGCTTGGAATGCTAACAAGTCCTCAGAATCCACAATGTGGAGAACACCTTTTAAATAATGAATACAGAGGACGATTAAAATTTAATATTGGCAGGGATGGGCTGTGCTAAAACAGACCAGGGTGGCTACTGAAGGTGTCACTGTTGATTTAGCATTACTTATGGATCGCCATGGACTGGCTGCGATGGGCCTCATCAGTCACTGTATTGACATCAGCTCCACCTCTCTAAATACAATTAAAATCAGATTTTATTTCTATAGATGGTTTATTAATGTGACCCGGTGATACTCACAAGACCCAGAATAAACTGGAGCCAGAGACTACTATACCGAAAATATAGATTTTATTGACAATGCATGGAATAAAAGACTCGTCTCCACAGTGAGTTGTAATACAAGGCTTAAATGCAGGCGATGGAGAAATTATACATTATATGAATCAAATCAATATACAAAGCAAAGAAAATAAACAATGGGGGGCTAGAGTGAACTATCAGGGAGGTCAGTGTGTAGAGTTATGCGAAAAAGAGAAAATTGTCACAAAATATGAAGGCAAATTATGATTAAACCACCACTGCACATGAACCAAATAAATCTAAATTGACCTACTCACAGCAAGCTCAGGTGATTTAAACCACACTATAAATAATCTACCTTGTTAGACTGGAACACAGTCCCCTCCCCCAGTTCAAGACATGCAGGTGACTGCATAAAGAACCATGTTAATATTGTTTTAAGTGGACTAAAAACCTATTTAAAAGCATCTCTGCTCTGCTTAAGCATCCCTTGTTTCTTGGCTGATGTGTCTCAGCAATCGCTCCAAGTTTTAGACCCTCACCAGCGCCTGTACAGATTATCAGTTATATATATAAATAGCCGCCTTCTTCCGTCATTACGAGAATCGACCAGAAAGGAACGTCTCATAGAATCAGCAGCAGAATAAAACATCACCAAAACAAACAGAAATCTATGAACAATCTAAACACCACAGCGGCTGCAGCCACAAACAAACATACTAAAGCAAAAAGAGAGCTGCAAAGTTGTTACACTCTGTGTTGTGCACACCCACACGACATAGAACAGGTGATGTTCTCCTCTGGAGTATAGAACCATTACAGTTTGTCGTTGTACCCACCCGTCTGAAAGGCTTGGTGTCCATGTTTAACTTCTCTGTTGGTTCATTCCCAATGCAAAAGTCCACTCTACCCCTCTGTTCCTCTGCGCTCCTCAACGTTTTGAGCTAAATGCAAAGCTGCAGTCACAACTGCGACAGAGATTATTGTCACAGACAGCAGTATTCTTTTGAAAAATACTACAAAAAGTACACAAAAAAAATGTTTGTTTGGTACAGAAACGAGAATAAATGTAATTTGTTATTTCAACGCCATATCCAAGTCTTCATAATCATTCCCCTTATATTCTGTTAAATATTTAATTGGCAACTGATCCCACTAGCAGTCACAAAATGCTTTTTTTTTACATGCTTACATGCTTAGTTACATTGCAATCTTATAGCCTCTGGCACATACTTTGGCTCATAGGCAATGTGCTTATCAGTGTGTTTCCCACATTTTGCTCATTAAAACCCTCTCTGTCTCATAAGTAAGAGTCCAGTGACTGAGGCTCTCATCTCACATCCTTAATTAGAAGAAAGAAAATGAAATCGGTGCTTATTAAGAGAGAAGTGTGAGTAACTGAAGAGACGTACAGCAGACAGGTGTTTTCCCATGAGGTCTGTCTGTCTTTAAGTCTGTGTCTCTGCCTCTGTCTCTCTCTCTTGCCCCCTCTCTGCTCCCATTACCCTCCCTCACTCTGTCACTGACAATTAGCAGAGGGCCGTGACTTCATCCGCTAATGGTTATGAGAGGCGCTGACAGGACAGCAGACTGCGGCGTATGCAATATGGATGGAAGACTTCTGCCTGCCTGACTGTGTTTCTGTCTCTTTGTCTGACTTGATTTACTCAGTCCTTTTGTCAGATTAGCGTTATTGCACGTAAGCAATTTTCAGAAGACAAGCAGGCACAATAAAATTCGTGAGGAAGCTAATAGTGTAAATCCATACAGAGGCAATGTCCTGACGTCACGTCTATGCTAGCTGCTGTTCCTCTAGCTTCCACCCATTAGCTCGGAACTTATTGCCATCTCTCATTGGTTGTAGTTTTAAAAAAGCTTACTGTCTTTCTGAGGAAGTGAAATGTATTCTCAGGGTTTTCTATCCATATTCTATGATGATTACAGTTTCAGCATCTGCTATTTGAAATGGACCCAGTAGCGATTTCAAGTCAAATGTACCTGTTTGAATAAACTACAACTCCCAATGTACTTGAACAGAGAATGAAGTTGCTCTCCAAGCTTCTCTGTGCTGGCATTACTTGCATTGTTAGCACCATTAGCTGCTAGCCCCCTGGCTCAGCTGTCTACATGTTGATCATTTTCAAGAAAAATGAGCAAGGTTATGTTCTAAGGCAATTCACACATATACACAATTGGATTTTACTGGATATTTTTAAAGATGCTAAATTTGCAATTCAGAGCATATCTATTGCCTCCACTCGGCTCTCAACATGGCCAATGCCGAGCCCGCCGCCTGCAGGTGTGGACGCAAACAACGGCAACAGTTCTGACATGTGAAGACCATAGAGGAACTTCATGGACCAGAGAGAGCTCTTCTTCCTCCCACTCAACTCAAGGTAGAGTTGATCAGGCTCATGTCCAGCAGTGTGAGATATTTGGTAAAGTCTCAGTGTGTAGCCGTGCTTCTTCATTTAATCTGATGTGTTTTAATGGAGGTCTGGTGATGCGTGTTATTTTAACACAACATGTGTTCTTTGAGGTTTCCTCCAGACCCTGTTGGACTTCACATCCAGATCTACCAGGAGCTGCTGGTTAGATTTGTTTGTTTTTGAGCTCCTTGTTTCATTTAATATAATGTAACAAACACCAATTGCCCTCTATCTACGCCAATAAAGCAGCCAGAGCCATGCAATCCAAATTAATTGAATTCTATTTGCGGCCACATTGCTTTGCCTCCACAGCAGTTCTGTTTCATTCATTCATCCTGCCTGTTTGTGTTTGGGTGATCGGCCTACAGAGAGCGAGTGGGAGGATGGAGAGATTGATGGAATGGCTGAGGGGGAAAAAAAGCAGGGAGAAACAAAGACATGCACGTCTATATGTGTGTGAATTGATTTTCAATAGCACTGACAGTGTCCATGTGTCCGGGAGCATTGCACAAAGAGCACTAGACTGTTCAGCTGTAACGGACCTCCAGCTTGAGCCACAGAAAAATACCCCAAGCGTGAATAAACAGGTACCAATACCACCATGGCTTTTGCTTCTGGTTGTTGAAGAGAGCTGGATACAACAGATGAAATTGTTATTATCCATACGTAAGAGCTTTGATGTAGCAGCATTAAATAGTTGAGCTGTCAGTCCATTATAAGGGACATGGGTCCTTATATATAGGGGATCATATACATAAGGATATAATAGGCTTTTCTCTCACATTTGACCATAATATGAGTCAGTCTCACTATGGGGCTGGATCAATAGGCTGCTTGCTTCTTAATGACTGCATCTGCTGAGATCTTAATCCAGTCTACTCAGCACTCTTCAGCTCAGCGATGTGTTAAAAACTGGATGACACGACCCCCTCTGAGGTTATTCAATGTTTTCACACTGTATCGACTGTTTGTGTGGACGTAGTGAAGACAAACGGGGTGAGAAAGAGAATTGATCTTAATCTGGTAATGAGATCGAGAGGAATGAACAGAGGACAGAGGTTATGGCCTTCGTCGTCTTCAAGCGATGCTTTCTAAGACAACAGCTCACAATTTGCATTTCAGCTGGGAGAGCCAGGCCTCATTGGGTTACAGTAGAGGACTGCTGTGTGAGTGTATGTGTAACTGAGCAGAGAGGACAGTCATGCTCAGCATAAACCGTTCGACCTGTTTCATAAAAGGCTGTTGAAAGTATTGGCAGACCACCGATGGGCAGCGGAGCAGCTAATATAAGCAGCTTATACATTTTGTGTGAAACTTTCTGATGGAAGTCTGCTCCGAAGTTATTAAGAAAAATAAAAACAAATGGCATAATGAACGGAACCTCGTATCTCCATCTTAGCAGGAGCAACAGCCTCATTTTCAGTTTTCATTTTATATTAATTCAAGTGTTTCAAAAGCCCATATATGTACAATTACTTTCGATTCAAACATGAAATAAAAAATAGAATTTGGATTTGTGGTTATTTGAAGGATAGTGATATTATTCATATTACTCATTTTATCATCTATGCCCATATAAATATTACTCTTTAAACTTTGCCGGGGAAGCCGGGGAAGCGGGTGAATCGGTTGTCGGAGAGGCTGATGTGGCAGAGCTCCTTCAACGCACCGAAGGAGGAGGGAAGAGCATCCATTGCACTGCTGTGACTAAGTTAACACTTAACGTTTACTACCGTGAGGAGTGCACATGATGAGCAGATATCAGCGCAGCCTTTTTCTTTCCTCCTTTTTTTAAAGACGTTTCAAATAAACACATAAGCATCCACGATGGTGCCTACAGACTACTTTTGCTGAAATTAAAGATGCGTCACATCAGTTTCTTGCATTTAGAATCAATGACAGAAACGTCAAAGACAGAACGGTGCTGTGTGACGAAGGTGTCGGTATTTGTTGCTTCTGGTAGAGTCTCTGCTGCCCTCTAGGCCAAAGAGATAGTCAACACATGCAGTGTACACATTAACAGCACATGATATTTCTGCACATTTATTGAAATTTCCGACATGTGTGTTATTTAAAGAGAAACCAATCCCAACATCTCCTTGTCATCTTGTCATTCTGGCTCCTATTCCTCCAATTCCTTCCTCTCAGCTTGGCACTTATTCAGGCAGACCCCACACAGGACGCTCTCCTTGACCATATAAAACCTCTCTGTCATCATGAGGGACTCGTGACCGGCTGACTCCTTGGCGAGGATGGGGTTCCTGGCCATGTTGACCTTCTGTAGCTTGTCCAGACTGGAGAGGCAGCCGGGGAAGCGGGTGAATCGGTTGTCGGAGAGGCTGATGTGGCAGAGCTCCTTCAACGCACCGAAGGAGGAGGGAAGAGCATCCAGCTGGTTGATGCACAGGTTGAGCATGTGGAGGTTCTTCAGCAGGCCGAGCTCGCTGGGGAGGCTCGTCAGACGGTTGTTGCACAGGTTCAAAACCAGCAGGTTCCGGAGACGGCCGATAGCCCCGGGGAGCTGCTCCAGCTGCAATGAGCAGAGAAACGCAGTCTGTAATACACAGAATGGTGCAATACACCGATGGTGCAATACTTTCAATTTTTTCTAGATTTGATGAGCAACTGTCCCCAGGGCACCAGACCCTCAGGGGGCCGGAAGGCTCAACATGTTGTGTATGTGTTCATTTCATAATATTAAATTTGTTTGCTAATTGTTTACTTGTAATAAAACATATCTTGCAGGGGCTATGAGATCTAGTTTTAAAGCCTTAATTATATCAGTTTATCTTGTGCTTGAATGGCACATATTTATGTCCACGAACTAATCACTGCCTCATACATACACACGGAGCATAATTCATACAGTGGCACACAAACACTAAGACCCAAGATGGCTAACTTTTATTCCTAAATGTGGGTAAACCTTCAAAACCTTTGGAGCATACACTTCCCACAATGCAACTCAATACTGCCCCTGCATGGTAAACACTGACACTCTGGGCAGTGCAGGCTTTTAGTTACACATTTTTAGACTCCAAGCCCAAGTCAAAATAACCCTGATGACATCATTGAGGTTATTTTGTTGGTCCACCAAGACATGAAATAGTTGTTTGGTGTCATATATCACTTAGTTAACAAAGTGGCCTTTTGAAGCTTATTTTCCTCAATTACCTGTCATACTCACATAGTTGCTGTGCAGATCCAGAGCACAGATGCTGATGAAACTGTCAATAAAGTCGGGGACCATTCTGATCCTGTTCCTGCTCAGGTCCAGTTCATCCATTACACACAGCTTCTGGATGCACTTCGGAACCACGGCGAGCTCCTTGAATCTGAGATTCAAACGACGTTTGCCCTCCAGCGTCAACTCCACGCAGTTCTGAGCCGCTTTCAAGGTGATTGTCTTCCCTTCGGCCGTTTTTTTTTTCTTCCCCATGGCAATTCTGCTGTAGGGAGATACAGCACAGTGACTGGGTCTGCAATTAACACTATTCACTAAATGTTTCGCAATAAACGCCGGCTGTTTTAAACATATTCTTGCACATTTTGTGATGATAAACAAACTCTTTGATTCCCTACCAGCACTAAGAGTCTGCTTCCTTAGATCCAACACACTGAATCGCAGAAAAAAGTCAAAAGAGACTCCCGACACGTTCTGCAACTTGACCTCTTGATCTCTTTGTCCAGCTTGAGAATTATAAAAGATTTTGTAATACAAACACAAGTCAGATTGCTGTTAGACAAGGAAAGAGCTGACATGTTGTGCAGTGGCTGTCCGTCAGACAGACTCACTTGGCCGGAGGAGGGATTTGTTTGCTTCTGTTCCCAGGCAACTGCTGTTAGCTCTCAGCAGACTTAATGGCTGTGACCAGCTAACTACAGCAGGACACTTTTGTACTTCCAGTGTCTGTATTCGACACCAGAACGTACATTTCAAATGATTACAGTAACTGTTTCTAGAATTCTTGTGTTTTAAAGACAAACATATGAAGGTGTCGACGTTGGTCACTGATTGTTTAAAAGTGAAGGCCTTATGGTTTCCAGGTCTCTGAAAAAAAGCAGTGAGACTAAATAAAATACAAAATTGAAATACATTTTTTTAATTACTTAAAAGTAATAGTATAATCAAAGCATAATTTAAAAAAGTACATGTCCTAATGAAAACTATTATTAAAGTAAATATAGCTATAGCAGCTACTGTATATAGTATACTGACCTGCTAAACTCTGTGTTTGTAAATAGTTTTCACCAAGCTTTGATATGATTGCAGTCGCATGGCTGTAATGACACTCACACCCACACACTCTAGTATGCACACACACACACACACACACACACTCTAGTATGCACACACACAGACGTCTGCCGGCAGTGAGTTTAATGTATCACATACTGTAGTCGCACCTCAGACATTACTCAGCTGTCTAAATCTAGCCTGAGGCATTTCATATGATGCACTCTCACTGAATGTAAAGGCCACACAGTACCTCCCAACTACCAATAAGTGGTGCTGTCTTTTTACAAGTCACAGTGTCTTTTCACTCTACCTTGAAATAAAAACAGCTTCCAGTCGAACACTGCAAAGGGAGGCATCCCTGCATTGCAGATTCATTATTGTTGTTTAGGAAAATTTGGGATGGGATGTATTGCGATGTAAACATTGCTGGAAGTCATGTAACCAGTCCGTTAAGGACTTATTCAGATTACACTGCTCATGTGAACTAGAGTGTTTCCAGGCTTACCAGGAAGTTGTATCAGGTGCATTGATGTCAAGATAAACAGACACAGACAGGTACATTGACAAAGCTAAGAGAGGCTCTTTAAATGCATGATGTCTATTTAGACATAGAAAATGTGACAGAATAAAGAAAAATGTGCTCAGTTAGATGCATGTGAATATTTCAGCAATAAGACCACCAACTTTGTAGCTATTTTGAACATCCAAAATACTTTCAACAGCCAATCAGAGAACAGAAAATGAGAGGCTGGATGACTCATTAACTCGTATGTTGTGGTTCAAAGATGTACAGCAGGCTTCGTTTCATGGGAGCCATTGACTGACGTAAATACTGAACTAATTTACACCAGTTTACAGATTTAGCATGTTAAAGGCCTTTACTTTTCAGATTGTCTAGCCTGCTGCAGCCCACTTTGTTTTTGTTGAGCTACAGAATAGCATCAATAAAACTCTGCATGACTCTACGGTTTGCTTGAATGTCAAATTCTCAAAGTAAAAGCAGTGCCTGATTAACTGGGAATCCTAACCATCTTTCGCACAATCAGAGTTTTATTCAAACCTGGTTATTATATGCAATTTAGCATGAACCAAACTAAAATCAAGTCACTTATTATACCACATCAAGAAGGTTAATATTTTTCACATGTAAACACATACTTGAATTATGGCAATAAATATAATCATCCCACAGAAAAGAGAAAATCTGCTTGGGTTAGAGGTTGGATTCCAATGTGTCTGTCAAAGCCTAAGGAGCAGCCATGTAGACTGTGGGAAATGTAGCCACAAAATGCCATATGTTTTGATATGTTAAGCTAAAGGCAAAACCCATTTGCTTAATCCCTTTTTGACCAGACCTGCCCTTTTGTCGGTGTGGATTTTTTTGTGTTTTATGTGTTCATTTTTTTTTGTCAGTCTTCGTGAAACAGCAGGCGACAGTATTATATGGTCTATACGCCTGACTCATTTCCCTCAACAGTATGAAATACAGGTCAGTAGACACAGGACACACTGTAGGAAATGGTGTTGACCTAATTGAGTAAGGCATTGCACGCAGCAGTTCAGATTACGTCTGATGATAAGAAATGTGAGCAGTGTGTGTCTGTGTGTCTATTTGTGTGTGTATATAAAAGTACTTTTGAACAGGGTGAGAGAGAGAGGCAAAGAAAAAAAGAAAAAGAAAGAAAAAAGGAAGGACATTATTTTGTTTCAAACTGTTTTGGTTTTAACCCTTATTCTTATTCCCTTATTCAAAACCTTCAACATGAAACTACTATTTCCTAAAAACATTACCAAGCATTTTAATCATTTGTACACAGTACTAGCAGAGAATACACAAACACGGGTTAGCTAGGGTTAGCTCCTGGAGCTAACAAACATACTGTAGATAAAAAGCTAAACAACAAATGCCACCGGGATAGTCTTAGCTATTTTCACTAATAAGCTAAACAAAACTCATACAAGGTTAGTTGGATTTAGCGAGTCTAGCTAACAAGCTAAACAACACGCATACAAGGTTAGTTGGAGTTAGCGAGTCTAGCTAACAAGCTAAACAACACTCATACAAGGTTAGCTATTGTAGCTACACAGCAAATGCTAGTTAGTGAGTGTTAGCAAGATGGACCGGGATGTGTGATGGCTAAATGCCATCAAATATGAACATAAGCAGAATACTTTGGTAGATAAAAACATTGGGAAATGATTACGTCTATCTTTGGTCGATACATTTTGACTCTTGGACCAAGACAATTAGAGCCAAGGATTATAAACCTTGTGATGGCCATGTATCACATAAAAATGAATGCATAGTCTAGATATGTTTCACTCCAGTCATAAACTATGTAACTCAGTGCAATGAAGCTCAAGATTTACACTCCTGAAAAAATGCTTCATGGGACCACATTGTAACCCGTCTCCAGTGTGTAGAGTTGAGTTTGGGTTTATTATAGTACCCAACAACTTGTGAATTTTTGATTGTGTGACAGTACAAAACTTTTCATTTCCAGTGGAATGCTCGGAACACAAATATTCGCGTCTGCCTTCGTGTGAATGGTTTCAACACGAAAAATCTGCAGCAAATATTCTGCATATTTGTTTTGTTTTTTCTGTTTTGTCCCTGGTGCAAAACACCATTGCATTATATTCTAGACCATTTCAATTTTCATGTAATATAATTGAGTTATATGGAAGTTAAGCAATAAACAGTGTCATGATTATCCCATATAACCTATCTCACATTATAAAGACAGAATGAAGTATGGATCGGTCTGTTAACAATTTACACGCTCGTGATTTGCAGTTCATCTTCCAAGGAACTTATTGTTGGTTGGGCTAAGGACTTGAGCAACTAGAAACAGTTTGCTCAAGACAAAGAGATGTAGACATGACAATAAAAACAGACCCAGTACTGACGTCATATACAACATCATCTTTGTACTTCATTTACTAGCTTGCCAGCAAGGATTTCCTGTCTTTCACTCACTAATTTCCTTCCTTCCTGTCTTCTTTCACAGCTGCTTGACAGCATGTTAAAGCACTTTCCTGGTGGTCACCGCCATAGTTTTGCACACAAACATATCAGAGTCATATAAGAGTCTTGTTGTTGCTAATTTATACAGCAATATTAATAATGAATGCCCCTAAGATTTCCTCTGTTACCAAAGGCTTTGGTAAAAACATGAAATATATATTTTTTTATTTTGTTAGTGTTGTAGTGAAAAACTAAACACGACACTTGATTTGAAAAAAAGTCAGAACCGGAGTCTTTAAACATCCACACACAGCAAAAACGTTCAAAGCATCACATGGTGGTGAATTGTCAGCGACCACTTCTCAGTTTTGCTCTCACTTTCACTTCCTTTTAAAACTACTTGGACAGGATAGTTTGCGTTGAGCAGAGAAGACTGAAGTTTGAAAAAGACTTCCCATGTCAACACATCAAACTACCGTATATGAATTGTGTGAATTGCGAAAGAAGATTATTTATTTCGTGCTAAGTCAACATTTACAGCATACATGAAGTTTTATATGGATCACATAAATGGTGCCAGAAGGAAGTGGCTTTATCCCGCTCAGTGTCAGACACATAGCTCCAGAATTTGTCACAAAAACATTGTGATTCTTCCTCTCCAGCATGCTCCTGCATACTTTGTCGTCGTTATGAGCTATTGTTTAGTCCTTCTAATCAGAAACAAGAGCAAAATCTGCTTTTTGTGCAGAGATGAGTGATAGCTTATTGGACGTGTTTAGGAAAGCTGGCACCGCGGGGGCAGAGGCATTCATGTGTTTGTCTAAGCTTTGAATGGAAGTGGCTTTCCTCCCCTCTAACTATGTGACCGTTGTGTTGTCTTTGCCTCGGGGCTGCGAGTTCAAAGAGCTCCTTTCCTTTCTGTAAATGTTTGTCCACGTTTCATTCAGGAAAGCTTAACGTGGACTTGACAGAATGTTCACTAGGCATTTGAGAAAGTGTTTTTGGGGGCGGGTGAGTCAATCAATCATGTGGTAGTTGTTTGAATATGACGAATGTAATGACTGAGCCAGGTTCAGTTTTTTTTGGCCCTGTGCATACGGAAGTATCTTTGACTGTTTTAGAGCCTTCATTATTAGACATAAAGGGACAAGTTGTTACTTATGACTGCTCCTAATCGATTTCACTAACTCACCATACGAAATTAATCTACGCACCGTTTGTGCATATAACTGAAAACACACTTCTATAAACTTGAATTTAAGGGATAATTTGCATCTACCGTACGCTCATATACAGTGGACGCTTTTTGAGAACTTGAGACGCATTGAGGTAAATAAGTACAATAAGTAAAATCAAATAAGAATCTGAGTCATAAAATAGAGCAGCAGATGAAATGTAGTGGTAAAATGTAATAAATATCAAATATAATATAGTACTGAGGTAGGACTTGCATTTTTGGGTTTATATATATAAAGTGTCTTTCTAGTCTTCCGACTTCTTAAAGCGCTTTACACTACATTTCAACATACACCCATTTATACACTGATGGCAGAGGCTTCCAAGATGCCAAACTGCTCATCATGATCTAATCTAAATGCGCATTCACTCACACACCAATGGCACAGCCTTCGGGAGCCATTTGGGTTTTAGTATCTTGCCCAAGGACACTACGAAATGTGAATTTGAGGAGCCTTGGATTGAATATTTACATACACTCCCAGTGAGAATAATATAGGTATGGCAGTAGTATAAAGAAAGATCTAATTCCCTCACCGGTAATCTAACTCAGGCCTCAGGGCTGAGTTGACACGATCTTACTTCCAACTCATCAAATACAACAGCTTGATCAGTGGCCCTACGCTTCAAACTATGACGCTCTACGTCAGGGTCGTTTCTAGGATACATAGAAAGGGGGGGCTTAGCCCCAAGGGGAGTGGCATGTTTGTGCAATTTTTTTTTGGTGCACATTTGGGGTCGCGGATGTCCATTGTTTCAGACAGTTCATAGATTGGTTCAATCAGAAAGAGTGTGATTTTGCTCTGTAGTTTTGCTTGCATTCAGTATATGATAACACAAGAGACAGAATTTCAGGGTCACAGTGAAATTTGACAACACAAATATGAACTTTTCTCAAATAAAGAGAGAGAACATTTTCCTGCTTGTAAAGGAAAGAGGGATAAACTAGCTTTCATATCCACGTCACACCCAAATCCTAATTCTTAAAGGGACCGCACACAATGGATGGAGAATGGACCTGACAGTGTCAACTTTTGAGTTGTTTACTTGTTTTATTATGAGCAGAAGGGAATATGGTTTTGATCAACATTTACATCTATTTTGTTGTCTGTGTAGTTTTTACATACAAGTTCACTCCGTGCATCATTTACTTTGAGCTAAACTCCTTGGCTATAAACCTGGCTGTCGTTGACGAGAGCCAGGTATGTTTGTTACGTAGTTAAGTAGGCTATGTTACGTAAGTGCCGTAGGTACGTTACGTAACTTAAGACAACATTGTCCTTTGGTGTCATATGGGACACAAACCTTTGTCCTAGCACCTAGGTGAAAGTCCTGTGTTTTTTGACCCATTCGTCCTCCCTGACCTCCTCCGTACGAAGTCTTTATTGCTCTTTACACTACGTAACCTGACTTCCTGCATTTCTCCTGCCATAACTAAGGCCATGTAGAGCGTCATAGTTTGACATGTTGGGCAACTGACCAAGATGCCATATTTGAGGAGTTGGGAGTGAAAACGGGTCGGGATAAATCACTGCATACCAACAGTATGAAAACAAAGCAAGTCCACGGTGAAACTGGATCCTGGCTTCATCTGCTTCACCATTTACAACTTTGCACACCATAACAATCTTGAAAGCTGTTGTAGTATGATGTCATCATTTTGGGGAACCCAAAGGGCTAAAAGGCAGCCTGCCCGTGAGCCTGAGACAAGCTGTTTTTCATTAGATCTGCTCAGCCTGCAGTCCCACACAACAGCAGAGTGAACCATAATTAGAGGTGACGGTTGCTCTCACTGCAGACTAGTAAATCTTGTAATGCCTCATCAGTCCCTTTGTGTCTGTCAAACAAATCCAAGTGTGATACAAATATGAAAAAGCTGTTGAAGAGTAAACAACATTGTTTACCACTATATTTAATAAAGGGCAACTTTTTTTTAAAGATATATTTACCTGCAAATGACCATATTTAGAGTTTTTTTTTTTGTTCATCATCCAGTAGCAGAATGTGCTTTAAACCTTGTGTTTTCCTGTTTTTTTCTTCCCTTGTCTTCCTCCTAGAACTTGGAAAACAACATTGATGACCGGACTTCTTCGGAGGCTCATTGGCACTGTATCAGTGGGTCTGGTTTGTGTGGACATGACCTTAGAGTAGCCCTGTATACTTACGGAGGGTGCAAAGGAGGAGTCGCTCCTTTTACTGACCGTCCAACAACACTGGACATTGGGACCAAGTTCTTACGGAACATCCAGTTCCGAGTCTTAATCTAATTTCTACTTCCTGTGACTTCAACTGGCTAAAGTCTTTCATTATGCTCCCTTCTGCCTCGAGGCCCCGTGTAGCTATGCATTACTGTCACCACACCGGATGTGTTGGGTTGTAGACTGTGTGTAGACGGTGTTTACTATGCATTGTATTTCTATGGACTGCGATGATGGCATGCAACGAGCCCAGACACACGAAAGCTCTAACAATAGGTTTTGTTCGACTGTTTTACTGGTGACATCAGCTGTTTCTTTTAAAGGGAGCGTCTGCAACGCCTGCTGTGTTGTGCCCAGACAGGAAACTAGCATCAGTGTGTCCCACACTTCCAAGCCTTTACAAATATGGATTTTCCTAAACCTGTTTCTCCCCTTTTTAATCCCTGCTCTCCTTGGACTTCCTTTGCTTTCTTTTCCAACAATTCTGCTAAAACATTGAGAATTATTTACCTTACTGATCATATTTTATTGCTATTGAAGCACTTCCTTCTAAACTAAGTCTTCTACTGACCTGTCCTTTTGTCAACTCCATGTGTTTTCTTTGCGGGTGAGACATTTTCACAAGACCTCTGGGGTTCCTCTTGTCCCACGCACACAGTGAGCTTCCTCTCTCTTTTCCTTTCGAAAATAATTTGGAGGTTGCAAGTAAACTAAACCCAACGTTTAAATTTCCCCCGCTCATTACAGCGCCTCCACCACCACAAGAGGAGCTGACACCCATCCAGGCTGCAAGCGGCTGCACCCTGCTCATGTCTCCTCTTTATGTCAATGTGGAGGTGAAAAATAAGAGGAGCAGGGGAATCTGAGCTTTGCAGTTAAAACATAGATATCGTTTTAACTGATGACTGACAAGGAATTCATATTGATAGCACCTGGAAACTTTCACGATCACAGTTTCTTTTTTAAAAATCTTGCTGTAGAGTTCAGGGCTGAAAGTGCAAATACGCTTTAATCCAATCCATTAGATCCGTCCGAATATTATCCCACCATACATCTTTGTATGTAAATGTACCTTTAAAAACAACCATAGTACATGAGACTGAGAGAAGAGCCAGGCTGCTGCTTTTTAAGTCCGCTGGAAATGAAGATAAAAAATCTTGATGTCAATTAAATACAATTCTAAAAAAAGCCAGATGACATGTGCCTGACAGTGAATATCATAACATTTCGACGAAGAAAAAGTCTTATTCTTGCCATGCTGAATCATTTCCACATACTAAACTGGCAGGTTTAAAACTCATGACCACTTGTGTGCACAATGCTGCCAATTCCATTATTTGACGCGTTACTAGAGGTAATAAATTCCTGAGGGAAGCTCTGATCTTCCTCTTCTGTTGCTGCTGTGGTGTCCCTGCTTGTTCACTGGTCGAGGTACCGTACGTTGTGCGAGTTCTAAACCAAAACCAACAGACAACACTTCTGATCTGGTGTGAATGGTATCTGGCTGTATGACATCTGCATGTGACGTGAGCCTTTAGATTGCCCCCTGTTTCAGCCAATCAAATACTAGCAAGCTAGGTCGTCTCCAAGAGGCAGATTCTGCGAGGGCACATCGGAATTATCTAATATATGCAAACCGACACCCTTGGGGAAAAGACTATCGCCATACCTGTTTAGACTGGTTTGGGTAACAACTCATGTCCTAGGCCTGCTTTTACATTTGTACTTTCTGTTTTTGTGCATTTTAATGTAAATTATTGGTCCTTATATGGTCACATTGTGCTTTTTATGTTTGTAATTCTACTCATTAAGCACTTTGTGACTAATGTCTGTGAAAAGCACTTTATAAATAAATTTTACTTACTTACTTACATACAAAGAGCGACCATCCAAAGAACAAAGCACCTCTCTGGCTGCAAACTGCTCACACACTTACACATTTATTTCACTTACTGATACACACTTTACAGATGAAATGTACAAAATGAACAAGAGAAGAAATGCTGGAATGTTGATGAATGTAGAGGTCAGTGGTGGGCAAAGAGAGGGAAAGGAGAGAGGGAGAGGCACAAGTCACACACATGGTTCTAGTTAGTGGACTCCCATTACGGACAATGTGGTCTGGAAGAAACTTTACATTTCACAGTCTAAGGGCATGTTTAAGACACTTCTGCCCGTCACTGAAAGGTCGCTTTCAGTCATTTCATACATGGATAATACACACTGTGCAACTACATAGATAAGAGACCAACAATGGACAATTGGAATGGTGAGAAATAGAGGTCGATAGTGGTTTGAATTGTAACATATAGGCAGGGGAACAAAGAATGTCAAAATACACAGCCACCAGCTTGCTGTAAAAATGGGTTGTAAATGTGTGGTCCTGTACTGTCTTTATCGGGAGTTTTCAAGTGTTATCTAGCTGGCAGCTGATTGAGGCTACAACACACTATTTGACTTTTTCTGCATTTTCTAACAATGGATAACTTCTGTCTTTTTGTGACTGGAAACTATTTTATCACACGAATCCAATAAATGTCATGTGTGAATCAGCTGTTAGCCATAGTTGCTACGTAGTATTACATAATTCTAAATATCACGTTATATACGTAGAAGAGTCAAATCATTTTACTCATGAACTAAATACTCTACCATCTGGTTTAGCTGGTTAACCTTAGCTAGCTTAAGGTTTGACAAAAAAGGGCCAAAACATGAACTTCAGCAGGCATTCAGTGGAAAGTAAGTCTTTGTATTTGTCATGGGCTCCATCTGCATGGATAACTCCACATTAGATAGTGGAAGTCTTGGGGGAAGGGAGGGATCCGGTGCCTTTGTGTCTGGGTTTCAAGTTCACCGTTTGAAAAACTCTCCTTTGCTTTTCCATGCCTGAATCCAGAGGATCATTAAATGGAAAAAAAGAGGCTTAAGCAATTTTACGCTCAGATTCACGGAAAGTGAGAAAGCAAGGAGACCGCTCGAAGGTATGTGGGATTACAGTCGATATGTACACTAAGATTTATGGCATTAATCTGAAATTGTCCAGACGCAGGTCTTAAGTTTGTCCCGGTTTGTAAATCAGGTGTCACAATTGTTTGTAGCCTTTTGGATTATATAAAAAAAATAATAAAGTATATGCCTTTGTGCAAAGCCTACAAGGACGTTTAGCCTACATCTAACTCCACCTTTGTATGTATATGTTCATGTGTTGCCAACAGCCTGTTAAGTTGATGTTGGCACCAGATGAAACGGCTCGCATGGTCTTAGTACTTCCTATGGAGGGGGCTGATTGCTACTTTAATATCAACTCTGTGGAGTTGTGGTCACTATAAACTACAGTCTGACACACAGAAACACTGTAGTTGTGATGCAGATAATTCTGGGAACTCACTAGATATAAATCACATCTGAAAATGCATTGGTTCACATCCATAACGACGGATTTCGTAAATTTGCTTTGTATCTCCTTCGTGAATCTGTTTTCGCTAGATGGGGTTTCCCACAATTGAGTTTAACTGGCGGACTTAAGATATGTTGAAGACTTAAGGATATCACAAGAATCAGTACGGGCTATCTAAAATAATATGTAGGCTATTTCAAGAGTTAATTTGTCATTTTGGGAATTAGCTTAGATGAGAGATCCATAACATCGGTACATTAAGCATGAAGCTAGAGCCGGGAGGCAATTAGCTTAGCTTGGGAAAATGAGATACACAGCTAGCATCATTTTTTCCAAAGTAAAAAAATACACCTCTAAAGCCCACTAATAAACAAATTGTATAATTTGCTTTATCCATACAGACATCGGAAAAAAAACACTTTATGGTTGAGGGAGTTTCTGTACATTCCTCTTTTTTTTTGCGGTAAACAACTGCAGGCGTTCATCAAGAAACAGTTACAGCACCTATTTCCCGGGTCATGTTAGCCAGCAAGCTAGCTAGAGACAGGGCAGCTGTATTCCCAAGCTTCCACTCTTTATGCTAAGCTAAGCTAATCACCTCCTGGTTCACTATGCTTAACGCACAGACATGAAAGTGGTAAAAACTGCCTTATCTAATCTTTGGCAAGAAAATGAATAATCATTCCTTAAAATATCTTGTTTATTAATTTCAAAACCTTGAGTTGCAGCATTATTCTTATCTGATGGTAGCATCATCTCGCTTTACCTCACTCACTAAACTTGACTCTCAATGACTGTGATAACTACACGCCACAGGAATATAATCTGCTGATATCGGATTGCAACCTGTTTCATGCGAATGGGAGGGCTTCGATTAGCCTGCAAATTCAAATCTCCAATCTCCAATCCGATTGTCACAATGGACAAATCTGGTCTAAATCAGCACAGGCTTCTATTGTGTTCCTAGTTTAAGCTACACATGATTCAAAAATGGGTGCAAAAGAAACATTCTACATGAAATACACCAGTAAAGAAAACATTTCCTTTTGCATCCCACTCTCATAAAAGGAAGTCATACCAAAGAACATACAAAATCATATGTACAATTGGGTCATAATCGTGAGACATTACACATGTTGCCCTTCACAAAGCATTTGAATACAAAATACTACAGACTATAAATAGACAATACTTTTTACATAAGGCACAGGTATTAGTGGTGTTTGTGTGTGTTCATCTCATAGCTGCTGCTCCCCAAACTGAATCTGGGCGTACACGGTGCCACTACACGACGCCTTGGTTTCCGGAATTGGCTTCACCAGATCCAGCTCTGCGTAGGTCAGATTCTCCTCCACTATCTTCGGCTGGAGATGGAGGAGGAAGACGGCAGAGGAAAATAATGATGGAGGAGGGAGGGGGAGGGGGGGGCAAAGGAAGGGAAGTGGTATCGTGGTTAGAAAATGAGCAGGGAGTTTGAGAGAGATTATTTTTATGAAGAACTCCATCATTAATCCTAAACTTGAGATTTGTCAGTATATGAATACAGACAATAAATCTTTTGAACTGGTAAACAGCAGTTAAACAGCAGTTAGCAGGCAAAGAATGGTAGAGTCCAACAATGTTGCCGTTTTCCTCTCGTCTCTCCATGGTTTCAGCTTTACAGCATTGGTTTGGTACAGAGCAGGTTTTGTGCAGACGTCACCTTATAGGATTCTTGGGCTGAGGTTGCCAAAATCCAATCAACTCTTGCCGCATTCTGTGCCATTAAAAAGCCAAGTTGCCACAAAGTCACTTCATTCCAGTGACAATTGAAACCAAACCTGGGTTATGTGGCACAGTTTATGACATTTTCTGGTACTTTTGATTACGTGTACTCCTGTCACATGCTGGTTGCGCTTCATTATATTTGGCACGGAAACACTCGCCTGTCACTATGAATGCCTTGCTTGGTATGGTTAGTTGTAGGCAAAAGCTACCAATGCATGTGTGCTGTTAGAAAAAATGTTCTCCAAAGTGATATGCGCCACACATATACATATGTGGGTTTAAAACAGGCAAAAGTGATTACTGGTAGATTCCTGATTATTTGGCTGCAATAAAGAACGAGGATCAAGTAAACGATGTATGAAAAGGTCATGCATAGAACTCACCAACACTACTTTCCTTGGTTGTTGTTTTAAAAGTTTGGGTTTCCGTGTTTTGTCTCCAATGGGTACTGCAGGGACAAAACAAAGGTCAGTGGTTGTGCAGAGATCTGTTTAGCAAATATAATGTGTATATATCTATGCCTCCAACAAGAGCCAGATCTCTCAATCCATAACCACAAACTCGACGTGCGCTCCCATTCACGTAGTGTTTAGTGCAGCTCTGAATAATGCACAAGAACCAGTCAACATTTGGCTTAAAGCTGCACTAGTCTGTTTTTTCATATTAATAATGGATCAAAGAACTATGTGTAATGTTAGAGGGGTCGCCTCTAGTGATGAACCCACAAAGAATTATCACCTGGACCTGTTGCCCGTCTCAGCCCTATTCACACTTTTCATCTTATTTCTTTGGTTTTAAAGCAATTTAAGGGAATAATTTGGCACTTTGGGGAATAAATGTATTAACTTTCTTCCTGCAGGTTAGATGTGAAGATTAATAGCATGCTTGTGTAGAAGGAACAGTGGTAGCTTAGTGCTGTCCAGCAGTAATAAAATCCCCCTACAGCCCCTCCAAATCTCACTAACTAATATGATTATATCTTGTTTGTTTCATCCGTACAAAGAAAAGTGTAAAAAAACAAAGTTTTTCCAAAGTGTTTGGAATGTTCCAGACTATTTCTCCAGTTCCTGGGGTTTCTGCTGGATGTGGAATCAGGCAATTGTTTGCTAGCACATTCCCCATAGTGACTTTACACTGTTATATTATGTCAAAGTTGTGTACTGGTTGTTCGAAAAAGTGTCCAAAAAAACATCAATTAATATTATTTAAAAAAGCACAAAACAAGGTCAGCACAGAACACTTTAAACTTCAGGGATTTGAGAGCTCTACCACATCGTGTCGACCATTACGATGGTACTTAACTCAAAATAACTTGCAAAAGGATGAATTACATTCCACATGCTGCCCCATAACTCAAGAGTTTATATGTGGAAGGGGCGGATGTTGACCTCGAATGCCAGCACATATTCATGTTTGAAAAGCAAAGCGGAACAAAATGAACCATGAAATTAAACCTCAGTGTGGACTGATGCTCATGCTCAGCTATTTCTGCTGGTGACTTCCAAGGAGTATTATTTAATCCTGCAAAAATATCTGATTCGAAAGGATGTACATTAAATGAGCTACTTTGAGCTACCGATGACAAAACTGTAGATATGAATGCACCCAGAGACTCATATTTACCCTTTGCTGGTATCTCTGGTGGTATCTCCTCTTGGTAGTCTCTGCTCCTTTTCTTCCTGTACCTCCTCTCCTTCTTAGGCAGAGCGGGAGACACATTGATCACACTGGTGACTGTCTCTCCTGAGCTGGAATGAGACCCGAATATCAGAGGTTCAGTGCAGTTAAGAAGACCCGAGTGTTCACTTGCTTTTATGGCAATGTGTGTCGCCCTGAAAATCTTACCTGTTCTGAGGGCTTTTGACCAAAAGGTAATTATCTGCAGAGATACAACACATTTAGAAACACGATAACAGGTATGGAGGTAAAGGTTACTGTGCTAAAGCAAACCTCTAAATGCAAAATTGAGTTAAGAAACAGGATCACGGTCAAAGGTCAGGGGAGAGTTATCTTGATGTTGCTGCTTACCTTTTAACCTCTGCTTCCTCTGTATGTACTGGCAGGTCACTGTCACCGTGAACATGCACATACACAGCAAACCCACTGAGCAGATCAGCACTGCACACAGATACACATCTGAAAAACACAAACATGTACACACACATCAGCCTCATGCCTACTGCTCCACTATACACAATATAATGATTGTTTTGCTGAGCTATTTAAAAGGCACTGTGCTATATCCTTTGGTTTGGGCTATTTTTTGCCTGCCAAGGACAGTGCGAGTCCACCACAAACACACACACACACACACACACACCTACATGCACACATGCGTTAAATATATGATGTCTTACCTTCAAACAAACTCCACAAGCTTTCTTTGGCCTTGGTGGCCGGTAGGACATGCACTACATGGAGAAAGAGAGAGAGTGCGAGAGAGAGGAGAAGCATGTTAGGTCCACTGTCATCACTGTGGCGTACCCGCCGCCTGATTGCACGCTGGCTAGAGTTTAAATAAAGCTAATTGTAGGAAGACAACGGGCCGAGACTGGACTCCTCCCTGCTCGATGGTGTCTCTGAATCACAGTCCAGAGGCTTCATCATTAACCTTTGCTGACTGTCGCCCTCACCTTCAGAACAGGCTGTTGTGGTGAAACATCTGTTTTTTCCTTTTGGTAACCTCAACATTACATTATAATATTGACAGGAACATTCAGATCCCAGTCCATTTCATAGAGGCATAAATCAGGCTTTCTAAAATTGAGAAAACACAGTTCCCTTGTTTGCAATGGCAGTAAGTCAAATTCAGCTAACAAGTAGAAAAGACAGGTGAAGACGGATTGCATTGGTTTAATATAACATATTTATTGATTGTCAGATAACTTTAAAAACAAAACAGAGTAGGTATTTCTCAGGGTGCAAAAGCACAAGCTGCCAGCTAAATGACCGACTGTCACACAACAGCTGTTGTATATTGCTATCTGGCCGTCTAATTGTGATCTTTCATATCGGCATTTCCTCAGAGGCCGACCAAAAATTTACTCTTGCAGTGTGTGCAGAATGCAGCATCAATGTGGGCGGGTATTTTACAAACATTTTAAATGACTATATTATTATTATTGTTATTGTGACAGGTATTGAAACAGGGACAACTTTGGACGTCTGGAAATGCAACAAAGATCCCAGGAATCGAACGGTGGACGTTGCGGCACAAAAGCAGACTTCTTTTTTATTTTATTTTGTTTTCCAGTCGGTGACCATTTATGTGGCCAGTTTAAATGACTTTCGCTGCCAAATTTTGTCAGATATAGCTAGCTAGCTTATTAACGCTAGCTCCTTGAGAACATCTGGTTGAGTTTGTAGCTAGCTCAAATACAGTTATAACTCTGCAAAATATCTTTATACTAAATATTTGTAATGGTTACATACGTCATGGACATAAAGGAAGAGGATTGTTTTTTGTATTTTGTGTTAATTCGTTCTATAAGTACAGTATTATTGGATAAATGGTAAGGTTAAATTGCTTGACAGACCTGCCATGCCTAATTATGGTTAAGCAAACTTTAAAGTACACACCATAACAAGAATCAAGATAAGCTCATTAAAATGGATTTGACTTAAATAGTGTTTTAGCGTCACCATATCATTTTGGGTCGTGGCTTACTGGACATTTCAGCAGAGTAGATTATGAGCACTAGTGGGGAATCAAAGGCATGCAATTGCAGCATTACGCTGTGTCATGAGAATCCCAGCTATGTGGCTGAGAAAATATGTTTCCCAAACTCAACCTGAAATCTCGCCTCACGCAGTCACTCGTTTCTCCGACCCATGTGACCACAGCAGTCTTAACGCCGCTGTACTCCTGCTGAGCTGAAGTGACACCCACCGGGCCATCTTGAAACACCCAAAACCACCAGAGGCTGACGACAGGCAGGCTCGCCATACCGGCTGGAGACTTTCCCACAGGCAAACTTGCTATGAGCATGCTTCAGATGATTCAAAACATATCTGCACTGTAGGAGCTATTACGTGGATCCTCCCTGCATGCATTGATCCTGCATTAGTACTTTAGACAATTCTTTATGTACAAAAGTAAGAGTAAGAGTATCAATACCTAAAGCTCTAAAAAACTAAAGCGCAACTCCACTACGTCTTTCAACCAACTAGTCAGAAACTTCCTCAGGATTATTGAAAAAAAAAAGCAGTATTTCATCAAATTAACATTGGCAATTCCTCCATCTGTAGATGAATGAAAGGAGGAGAAGCTATTTCCTGCTCATTATAGGGGAATTGACATGTAAGGAAGTAGATGCACACTAAAAGATAAAAACCAAACTGAACATTTTGGACTGAAGCTGTGCAGAACAGTTAAACAGCCTGCAGTTCAGTTTCTTCAGAATGCTGCATCATGCTAATACCTCTCCGGTCAAACTACTAATTTTCCTATAGGATAACATTGCAACTAAATGTCTCTAACAGCAATAACAGGGTACCCTTACACCAAACTGCTGACAGCACACCACCTTCTTTCACCAGCTCACAGAGCGCTATGTTAAACAATGCCAGTTCAGAAAGTAAAATGCACTAAGCAGCGGTGCCTTTTGGCCAAAGAGGTGAATTGTCCTCGGAGCTCTAATGTGATCCCTCTCTGCTGTGAACTGGCTCTCAGTTATCAGTTGTTGTTGTGGTGGTTGACATTTTCACCTTGTTTCAACACTTTCCTTAATCCTTTTCTCTCGACTGTCTCCATCTGTGAAACCACTAACCCTACACTGCCCTTGTGTGCCTCAATCAGAAAAGAACTGGTTGTGGATTATTAAGTACCTTTTGCTAAATATTTACTATGTAACATATGAGAGGGTTTGTCTTTTAAAAGGTTTATCTGTCGCATGTGCCACTGTCACTGACGGTTTGAGCAAACATGACAAAAAGTTATTTTTATTAAAGCTACCAACCGTAGCTTTAACTGCAAAAGCCATTTACTGTAAAGTTTTTTTTTCTGAACACAAATTGTATATTTTGTCGAAGACAGAAGTCAAACAGTTTCCCATATGTGTTAGCCCGATGAATGTTACCTCATCAGTGATCTACACAGCTTAGTGTGGCTGTTTTTGGCAAAGCTTATGTGAAAGGCATATTCTATATGACACCGCCAACATTGTAATGTTCCCTTTTTGTTCTATTACCATCATTATCCATGAAAATCTTAAAGCCACCAGTGTATGTAGGTAATAGTATCTGTAGCATCTACAGCAAATGCATTGGTGTAGGGCTGCACAGTTTCTGAGTGAAATCATGTACTAAACAGACTTTCTCCCCCTTGTTTGAAATGGCAGCTGATTTAATTCAAAGGCCCGCCCTTCTTCCACAGTAAATGAATCACAGCGTACATCTCGATAACATCTCTGACGTTTATGTGGCGTCTTTGAAACGGGTTCTGTGCAGCTCTGTTAGTGCGGCAGCTGTGCATGTTGGATTAATCAGAAATGGGATAAATCTGGTGTACTGTATGTGCCATTAAACTGGCTTTTATCCCCGACATAGAAAATGGCTTCTTTTTATTAAAGCAACTTTTGAATGGCTGAAGACTACATCAGACTACAGTGGAAGTATTCAAACACACTACCTTTTGTTCGTCCAAGCCACAGAGTTGCATTCATTTTCAGACTGTTTCAGATTTGAGGCTCTTTTTTTGTCCCCCAACAAACCCAATTCTGTAAACATCAATACACAGACTGGAGTGAATAAACCTCTGTGTCTTCACTATCGACTGAGTCAGTCACTGCTCGGATTGACTGTATTATAAATGACTGGAGACGAATGTAAGTACACAGCGACCTTGTGTGTTTTAACAAAGCTTTGAATAGTTCGCCCTTTAACTTCCTGCTGTCTCTTTGCATATTTTCTTCTAACAATTAGCATCATTCAGTACATCTTACTCACTGTGTCCCTACTATGGTGATTAACACAGGCCCTTTATTTGTTGCCTTCTTAAAAACAAACCTCTACAGCGATGTTTGTGACCCCAAGAACTGCAATATTTCAGATTTTGTCTTGTGAGGTTGCCAATACAATACCCAGAGTTCCATGTTCTTGCTATACTTAAACCCATGCCACATCCGTGTGCCGTGCACCTCTTGGAAGCACTCATGTTAACTTGCAGTCGCCCACACGTGTTATAGAAATACCCACGAGTTCGGTTTGTTTATGCCAAGAGGAGGCTGTGTCCACACTGTGCTCTACCGAAACCCTCCGACCTCTATGGATGTGTTTATTATAGCAGTAGTAAGTAGAGTAATGAGATTTTTGTGAGATTGTGGAAACACCTGCTCACCTAATGTTATCCGACCGCAGGAATTCCAACACTTTGACGTCTCAAAGGCACACATTTGTGCACATAAAGGCTCAGTCATCTGCTGTTTGTAATGTGAAGTGTGGAGCAGGAGCAACGGTCCCAGAGGGGCTTTAACCCCTCAGCTGTATAGCTGACGTTTATCATAGCTGTCAACTGTTGGTGTGGATACTGGTAAGGAATACCACCGCCTGCTGGGGTGCTGGGCAGAGCAGTGAAGTTCATTTTGTTTTCCATATTTAAATGGGCTGGTTTATAACAGCCTGCATGATAAACAGGTGGTATGAAGTTTGAAAGATGTGGGCATTTACCAGACAGGAAGGGCCTAGAAAAGGATGCTATTCAGTTGCATTATGGGAAATGTAGGATCCAGCATTTTTTCAAGTTAAACTCACACTATAGGAACTTAAAGTCAGGATATGTCAGGCGGTGGTGCTTCGATTTTGACCATTATTTTTGTAAATCGGTCTCTTACAATTCCCCCAACTTTATAGAGGTATAATAGTAAATTGGTCGAGTGCAGCTTTAACAGATTTTTAGCTGGATATTACAACCCCGTATCAACCAAAAACATGTCTACCTTCCGCTCCAAGAGGACACCGTTTACCACAGTTTATTCTTATATTTATGTCCATTTAGAATAAACTTTTTCAGAATAGAGTCACGCAGAAATAGTTTGTTTCTAAATTTGTTCTTTTGCTGTTGTAAATAAAAAAGTAGATCTAAAAACTAATGAGTAGAATGTTCAGATTGCTAGAGGCTGCAAAGCTGTGTTTTGAAACCACAATGGACTGCACTTCCTTGGATTGAAATAGCTCTCCACATCCTTGACCACGAGCGGTTAAGAGTGAAGACAGCTGCCCACTTGACTGCCACTGCAGACAAACATCAGAACTTCACCTTCACAACTATCTCTTGTTCCAATTCTGCTGAGTCTCTCTGGACTCTGTCTGTTCTACATTTGGGAGGGAAACTCCATGTCTAGGCCAATGTCAACAGCTCTCGTTAGGGACTGCGTGTCTGCCCGGGCCCAGACTTGGCCGTGGACACCCCCCGAAAGTCACAGCCTGTAGGAACGCTTCCATGGAAAATGTGGTGAGCAACGTCTAGTGTTGTTCAACACTGACAGTAGGGACTAATATGAACTGTCTTTAGATTGTTGCAAGAATTACACTTTGTCCTGCACTCATTCCTGAGATGAACCACTAAAACACACTGAACCAATTTCACATGAACGCCTCTCCAACTGCTTTCTGCTGATCTTTGATGTGACACAGCACTGACCAAACCTACAACCAAGCCATTAGGGTTTCTGCATGTTCTCTTATAAATGCTTGGTGTTGTCTCCGGGATAAATGTGACACATTTCCAGTCAGTTACAAATAGTTAGAAACAAATCTGGATTAGCATTAGCATCACCATTCACAAAAACCCAAACTTCATCTACAAAAGCAAACACAGAAGAGGACATCCCACTTACAAATATAGACATCTGCCCCCACTTCCGCACATTGTATTGAGGTGAAGCCAAAGGAGGCTGGAAACGCGGTATAAAGATCATACACCCCCCCCCCAAGTCAATTAGCAGCCGATCACAGCCACAGTTTGTTGGTAAGAGAGAATCACAGCTGTCAATCATGACGTCACACCCACTTTATATTGCATAAAAAACAAGTTTGAACATACATCAGCGTGATAAGAACTACCTTAAATGACAGAAACCGTCTTTGGGGAAGAATTATTTGACGTGTAGCTGGATTATTTAGTTTAAGACCCATACTGCAGCCATCAGGGGGCTATCGAGATTATTTTTGGGGAGCTGTCATATCATCCATCTTTAAAGTCAATGCCCAATCCCTTCTCCTGAAATGTGATTGTCTAATCAATAGCAACTGTAACTAGGCACATTTGGTCTGTCAGGCTTTGCATTTGTCTTTTTTTCCAGCCTTTCCAAAACCCACAAACACAAGAGCAAAAGTGTAAAGGATACATTTACCAGTGTGTTTACCTGCTCTAACATAGTTTGCAAATGTTAGCAAGCCGTTATAAAACCCAGACAGGAAACTACGACAAGTACTCCCCACTTTGTGGAAGCCAGTCCTGGATGCTATCAGAGTTTAGGCTAACGTAAGCAACTCAGCATTTTTTTCATCCAAATCATGCAGCTAATCTACTGGCGACAATCATCATTTCAGCTGCCCAATTGATGCTTGCATGGCTTTAAATAAGAATCCAGCTCTTGTGTAGCTTACCTCTACCTCTATCTAAAATTTAGTTTGAAAGAAACACTTGAAAAATTGTGTGGTAAACCTGCCCTTGTTATCATTGTAAAGTGCACATTTTGGAAGGAGCGAAAGCTTGACATAGGCTACGTGAAGGGAAAATTCTCATCGCTTTTAAAGTGTGTCTGGTTATATGAAGGCGATGGGATTTCTGGGCAGTATCTGGTACCAGTAGATTTGTCATCCGTTCCGTTGTGTGAACGTCAATGTGCCAGCGGTGGCATTGAAACCTCACATTCTCTTTGCTCACTCTCCAAGATCATCTACTCAGTCAAAGCCGCAACTCATTGCGATGGAGGACCCTTTTATCTGCGGACTTGCTCCCAACCAATGACATTTCCCCTCCCAAATCAAAAACAGGACAGCGCTTTTGCTCCTTGAATCCACTTCACTGCCTCATCAGCCAGATGGATAACATCATCCAGTTGTGGTTAAAGAAAGTGCTACTGCTGGAGATGCAGAACTGCTCCCCTAAGACAAATAGTTTTTTTCTGCTATCTTCAGTGTATTGTTATCACAAGTTTGGCTTACTTGGGGCTCTTCTTTAGGTCAGCAAGCCTATAAACATCACCCAATTTGCTTTAAACTGACATTTTGAGAGAGGTGGCACAAAAAGCCCCTCCCCTCTCCTTCAGATCCAGTCATATTCTATCATTTTGAGTTCTAAATGACCTTATAAGAGAGTTACAAAGGGCATCCAAGCTTTTTCAGAAACGCCTCAAACACAGCTGGAAACTGCTCAATAGCTTTCTGTTGCTGGCCGTGGAAGATCTCTGCAGACCAACCTGGCATCTGTGTGAAACTTTTTGCGGCTTCAGTATTATCAAAACAGCATTTTCTCATTGCTTCTGTTGTGGTTTCAGAAATAGCTGTTAAGTCACCGCCCTGCACCCTCAAAAGCAGTGATGTCATTCTGTGAGAAACTGGGCTCCAGCTACTGCTTTCATCTACCAAGAGTGAATTGGAGAAGCCCACTGCCAGAGGTTCCCCACCTTTTTTGGCTCAAGACCCCAAATTTATTCCCAACTCCACTTATTCAATACAATAACATTTCTTTGCTATTGATACTTTTCAAATGAAAGACAGGAATCTTGACGTCTATGCTACTTAAGACTCCCTGAGCACAGTTGACTCTGATATTTGTTTAAACTCACCCTGTCTAAAATTCAAATGTCTAATTTGTATATTGGGAAACCCTACGTAAGGTTGCAACTCCAGTGTCCTAATAGTTTAAGAGGCGATTCGGTAACAATGCAGGGATTTCCACTTCAATATGTCTTCATTATGTGCATACAAATATGTATTATTTCCTATTTTTGTGTTTCCTCAAGTAAAGTGACACATCATACAACTTGTGTATCATTTATTAATGAGATTTTTGGTCAAACTGGTGAGAGGCAGCGGTTGGTTTGCGTGAATTTGAGCACTCTGTCCTGTTCTTCCGTTGGTCTGAACCACCAAGATTTGATATTTTTGTCTGATGTTGGGATCTATTATAACTGACATGAAGCTGACCATGCACTTTGCGCTCTGTGAGGGAGCAAACTACAAACTAATACCTTTCATTCCCTGTTTCAAAAAAGGGCTTTGGGTAGGGCATTCGTTCATTCGTTCAAATGTTAAACAGTGTGATGCTGACAGACTGGTTGCTTGTTGAATCTTCCAGTGATAAGAAAAGGCCAGGAAAAACTAAATCAGTAAGATCCGCCCTTACCTCTGAGCTCAGTAGCGGCGGTGCGGTTGGATGAGGCCTTCCAGCGGTCCTGGTGCTTTCTAAACTCCTGCACCCGGCACATGTAGAGCCCCCGGTCCCCCTCGGACACATTCAAGATGACCAGGTCAAAAATCTTCCCCTGCTTCACCACCGTCAGCTTCAGTTTGGGCCACGGGAAACTCTTGGTGTAGTTGCCATAGAAACGGGCCTTCCTCATGTTGACGCGGGCGATGAGGAGTTCGTCCTCCGGCCGGTCCGTGCCCTCTGGCAGGAAGGTCCATTTCACCACTGGCAAAGCAGCGTTGCGGCGCCGCTGGGACACAACGCAGGAGAGTGTGACATTTTGACCCTCCTGGGCCACCGTGAAGGGGGAAGGGGTGATGGTGACGTTGATGGCCAAACACAAATCTGGAGAAGAACTACACAAGTCATTTCAGAACCATTTGTAGTACGTAATATTAAGATGTCTGGATTTGTTGGATGACTGGTGATCTCTTTTATATATCATACATCCCATACCTGATACTACAAATCCCTTATGAAGTGAAAAAGATGTCAGAGAAGTGGATGCAGGTTATGTCTTAACCAAACACATGTGAGGCCATGTTCCTCTCTTGTTTTGACTGCATATTGGTTACATCAACCCTTTGATTTTGACTTTAAACGCATTCAGCTGTTTTCTGTCTATCAATTCCTTTGTCTATGCCACAGAGTGTTGGCTACACTGTAAAAAAGAAACACCATGTCAAGCCAAGTGCTGAAACTGAATACTTTATTGACTTTGTTGGATTGTTATTTAGGTGTTCGAGTGTTAAACCCCATTGACTTAACTGAGAATTTAAATCCCAAAACAGTAGAATCGATATGTCCAGGTTTGGTAATAAAATAACAGCTTCTTAACTGTCTTCATTTGAGACATTTAGTGAACAGCGATACACTCATTTAGCTCATCATTTTAAGCCTCAAGAACAAATAGCAAGTTCTGTCATTGAAATGGCATTATTCAAAATTTGAACTTGATTCCATTTTAAAACTGATTAAGCTAATCTAATAAGTGGCAAATGACAAACTAGAGAACATCTTGTGGTGGGATCCTGATGCTAAAATCGGACCAGCGGCATAAAGTGGGGGGCCAACGGGCCCTACGCCCCTCTTGGCAGGCCGCGCCCATCTTCGAACATCAAACCATCATTTTGATCTCAACTACACACCTATAGAGTTTTAAACCCCTAGCATAGTACTCAAACCATCTCTGGAGTAGTTTCCAACACAGTAGATGTCTCCCGGACACATTTTGCCATGATGACTCACACACACAGTCACACAAGATGAAAACAATACCAGTGGTAAAAATGTATAATATTGAATGTTAAAAATGTTGAAATTTTACAGCGCAAGACGCTGTGGTCCAAAAATGATAAGAATGCCTGAGGTTTAACAGGTCAATGATACTTGACCTCGGAAACAGCAGTCGACCAAACAATCTCCACGCTAGGTCGACTTATTGGCTTGCTCAGCAGATGACGATTGCTCAGTTGTCAGGAAACTGGAGATGTTCATACTTGAAATAATTCTCATCATCTCAGTTTTATCATCTACTCTTTTTTTCGTGGGTGAAGGTGTTTGTTCATTGACACTGTTCAATGTTTTAGCCAACATGGACGGGAAGTCCTAGAAGTTCTCAGAATAAGTCGAAGGTAGATCGTCCTGTCATGGGATTCAGTTTGGGATTCACCATATAATCATGCAGTTTAGACCAGTTTCTAGATGGTGTCAAATCTGTGTCAAATGTGAGGGGGAAATTGAATTGAAGCTTCAGCTTGTTTGAAATGTTCCCTATAATAAAATAAGTACTTTGCATTAAACACGGTGTGCATTAAACGTCTCAAAAGCCTGACTGAAATAATAACAATCAGCCCAACATTTGTAGTGAACGTTTTTTTTAAAAGAAATAAAATCTTTATGTCATATGGTAAATCCATACAGTCCATATCTCGAATGAGGTTGTTGTTGCGCAACAGTCTGCTTCTCATCACTCTTTTTTTTTCCTCGCATGTGACGACATACGTCCGACGAATATTGAGGAACAAACTTTACTGTCGGCGTCTGTTGCATGACCATATATCACTATACATTTTTCCCAACCTTGAGCAATTTGTAATAATAACAACCTGTTTCCACAACACACAAACTATTCACTGTCACACAGCTCAGATGCTTTCAGCTCAAAACATAAATTGAAAAGTTTTGTCTTTCATTTAGGTTTTGAGTGACAGAACTAAAGAAGAAAAACATATCCGAGTGGCTGAAAAGTGTTGTCTCGGTGATCCATGTTGACTTTGAACTCTCAAACTGTTCAATCAAATCAGCTGTTCTGACATAGGATCACTGAAATCACCATGAATTGAATGTATAAGTGAAACAAAAAGCTTTGTTCCACTTCAAAAAGCACCAATTTTCACTTGTGGAACTTCCTCTCATCTCTGCAAACAGACGCAACTTTGATAAACGTGTTATTTTCATGCAAACATTACCCTGCAGTCTCTCTTGGTACGATGTTTATTCTAGCACAAAGAACTTTCAGTTAACAGACTTTCTTATCTAGTGTTCTTCATCTCCTCACCCATCAACCCCAATGTCCTCTCTGATTCTCAGATGTTTTATGCAAAGCCTCTCTGAAAAACATTTTGTCTCCACCACATCCACTTTGGTAAGAAGCAAAATAAACTTTTCCTACCTCCAAGCAGTGCTCGAGTCAGGAGAGCGAAGACCACATTGGAGATCTTCATTTTCCAGGACTGCAGCCTCCATAAACTCCCAGTTAAATGCCTCTGAAGAAAAGAAGTGCCAGGTTTCCTCCTCCTCTTCTTCTTCTTCTCTTTTTTTTCCAAGCTTGGGAGTGTAATATGAAACATTGGAGGCTCTGTTTCTACTCAGAACCTCCCTCCGCCCCTCCCCCCTCATGTCACACACAGCGAAAGCCCATTTGGCAGGCTCACGTGCACACACACACACACACAAACACATGCATGTGCACAGACACAGACAGGTGAGCATTTGCGAGGACACACACGCACGCACCCGCACCCCCCCACACACACACACCTCTCTATCCGTCGAGTGAGTGGGGAATGTAATTTCCTGTGCAGGATGGAGGTGTGTGTGTGTGTGTGTTGTTGAGATTGACGCCGAGCAAATCACACTTCCAGCTGTGGAGGACAGCGGGCGCAGACCAACGTCAGGGCTTTTATTTTGGAACACACACACACAGACACATATGCTGACACAGAAGGAGGGGGTGGGTTGCAGTCTGATTGTGGGTGGGCATCTTTGTGGCCAGTGAAATGATGGAGAAGAACATTGTAAGGAGGTATGTTCTGCATTCAAAGTTTCTAAATGATCCTCAAGTGTTAAACTCCTGTGGTCGCTCATCCTGCTTTCAAAATCGCGTTTGTTAAATTGTTGTCTGTGTGTGTGTGTGTGTGTGTGTGTGTGTGTGTGTGTGTGTGTGTGTATGTCTAAATGTCTAAATCTATCTCCCTCATCTCTTGTCTCGTGTAACAGGATCCCACAGTGAATCTTTGTCCAGCAGTCTGTCAGTTCGGGTTTTTTTCAGACACTTTGCTGGCTTTTATCAAACCTCAGAGAGCATGCGCTGTGAGGATCTGGGACACTTTTGATTTACGGATAATAAAGTGCTTCCAGTCCGGCGACATTTGACAAACACGGCTGTTCCCTTGACAAAGAAGTTCACAGAAATGTTGCTGTTGGCACTGATATTTGTTTGTAAACTGTATTGTGTTGATTTAGTGAACGCAGAGTGTAGCCTGTAAGGACACGCAAAGTAAGTGTTCACTCGTTCTACCACTAGATGGCAGTATAAGTGTATTTAAACCATAGATTTAGTCATATTTACCTGAGCTTTTGTTAATTATCTAGGTTATTGATACAGATGTATTTAATGCTGATTATTTCATCTGATATTTCATGTGTATGGTTAATTTACATTAGTTGTATACATCATGTATTTACTTGTTATATTTGTGTCATGTAAGAACTAAACATACCTACATGGAAGAGTGAGCGTGTGTTGATCATGAGGCAATAAATAATGACAGTTGAAAAAATAAAGATGTTTGGTTATTCTCATTGAACATTAAGCCTAATTGACCTACCTCATTGATTTGATTGTCACACTTAAATCCTGATTTGAATGGAAGAGGTCAAAGGGATAAGAGATGAGAAGATATAATGTTGGTCAAATGCTGTGGTCCAAATAAAATGACTTCAGTTTTATTACCATTGAGTTACAGAAAGTTTGACTCTAGAATGTTTTCATTTTTGTTCCCTAATCTCACAAGACAAGAGCAAAAAAAAGATTAATTGGTTCTCTTTCCTTCTTTGCTGCCATGTTACCGGTCTCGTGACCCCTCAGGTTGATCTCTGGAGCTGTAGGCGGATGCAGACCGTCAGGATGAATTGAGTTGGGAACCAATGCAACAGACTACCAGCTCTTTAGCATGTTGGACACACCAGCATGACACTGTCTCGTAAAATTAAGTTCCCATCCAATAAGACTGCTTTGGGAGGAGGGCTGTTGAAAACTGTGACCGTGATATGAGAGAAAAAACATGTCAAGCACAAGTCAAATACTCCCCTAAAAGCAGAACCCTTCAGAGTTAGTGCTGGCATTGCATTGTGATTACATTCCTGTATTTGACTTGTATTGCTGTATGCAGGTTTCCGTGGATCCTGGTTATACCTGGACCATGGTCTGGCCTCCTGCTGTGTCATAATCAGTGACTGTGTTGTAACTCTGTTATGTTGTTCATTCTGTACACATGACATCTGTCAAATAAATACTTGAAACAGAGTAAAACTGTGGTATGCTGTGTACTGCAGATGAACTTTGATGCTACCTAACACCTCTTCTTCCTGAGGAGCGAGATGCGAGACCCTAAAAACAGCAACGTTCTGTGGTTTGGGCATCTGGCTGACACTTACACATTGGATACTTTTCGGCATATTTGGGTTTTCACACCTACCTGACAAATATGAAACAGGACTCTGAATGACAAATATAACAAGTAAATACATGATGTATACAACTAATGTAAATTAACCATACACATGAAATATCAGATGAAATAATCAGCATTAAATACATCTGTATCAATAACCTAGCTAATTAACAAAAGCACAGGTAAATATGACTAAATCTATGGTTTAAATACACTTATACTGCCATCTAGTGGTAGAACGGGTGAACACTTACTTTGCGTGTCCTTACAGGCTACACTCTGCGTTCACTAAATCAACACAATACAGTGGACAAAGAAATATCAGTGCCAACAGCAACATTTATGTGAACACAAAAATGACTGATTAAACTATATCACGAACTGTATTGCATCAAACAATGCACCGATTAATCGAAAAGTTGATTCTTGCTGTGTACATGGATACATGAAATTAAATCGCCACTACTGCTGCTAACACACTCCCATCGGCCCAGGATTATTTATTTATATTCATTAATGTATTTTTCTTCTAATGTTACCCTGGTATGTGCTTGCATCACAGACTATATAACGTTAAGCATTTCTTGCATACGGTCATTATATTGCCTTCATTTTTATTTTGAAATATTCTTATTTCCGGGTTACATGTTATGCTCTGCGTCTCGTTTTAAATGAAACAAAAGGAACGAAATTCGACTCGGGTCCGTGTACGTTTTAGTCATCTGTTTTACCGTTAATTCGGAAAAACCAAAATACGGAAATACCATGGTATTCTCGTTTTTCGTTTCAAACCAAGAACGGGAAAACGGAAATGGGCGGTCGTATTTCCGTTTTTGGTTCTGAATTCAAAAACGGAAAAAGCAAAGTCAAATAATGAGCCGTATTTCGTTTTTGCAAATCCTTTTTTTGTTTTTTCATTTAAAACGAGACACAGAGCACAACAGGTAACCCGGAACAAGAATATTTCAAAACAAAAGTGAAGGCAATATAATGACCGTATGCAAGAAATGAATACATTAATTAATTAATCTCGGCCGATGGGAGTGCGTTAGCATCAGTAGTTGACTATATGCTGTTTAATATTCATTTATCTATGTACACAGCAATAATTAACTTTTCGATCAATCGGTGCATTGATGCAGTCTTTGATGCAATACAGTTCGTGCACTGCTGTCTGTCCACAGGTCTCAGTTTTCGGTAAGTAAGCAATTTATAACCATATGTGTGTTGTATTTGTTCTAAAACAGAGTTTTCTTTACACTTTAAAACAGTGTTTGATAAAAAAAAATCATTTAGCTGACAATCAATTGTGTGTTTGCTACTTTAGCTAACGCCACAACAGCTAGCTTAGTTATGTAGTAACATGATGTGAAGGTGATATGTATGTTAACATTAAGCTAACATGGTATTGCTCTCAAGTGTAATGCTAGATGAATTCAATTTTAGTAGCTTTTAGACTGTTTTATTAGCGTGTGGACTTCACAAACATGCAAATGTTAATGGACTATTGAATGAGTTGTAGACTGGCCATGCTGATTGCCAACTGTATATTCCTGACTGGTTGCAAGTGTGTTTTCAAATATGTTCAGTATGGTGGAATTAGACAAAGCTAACTGAAATCACGTTAGTAAATGGTGTTGAAGATGCACTTAATAAACAGCAAGGGGTTAATGTTACCGGCAGGCTTCAGTAAAGTGAAAGTAATCACCAGGTTGTGCTTTTTGATAATATAAGTAAAGGTAGTAGAGTCATGTAAGCAGAACTAAGATAATTCATTATTCCATTAAGAGAATGAAGTCGGTGTATATTTTAAGGTCACCATAGGTCCTTTAAATATTCTAGACATTTTTTGTAATTATTGATGTTTTGAGGGATATTTCAACAACTGTAATCCTTTTATACAGGCGACAAGTGCTTTCAACCCTAGGGCGGCCATCCTCCGGGCGGCCATCCTCTGGGCATCCAACTTGAGGAAGATGATGGACATTTCATACTGAAGTATATGGTAAGTCAATGTAACCAGCCACATGTACTGTTTTGTATGACAGAAACATTTTTAAGATCCTAATATCACTAATAGTTATAACAAGTCATTGCGACAGCACAAAAACCTCAGTTCACACCTGTTGAATAGGTATAGAACATGTCTGTGATTTTGAGAAAGGAAAACAATGCTGAACTTTTTTGCTTTAACTTGTCATTGTGAAGTAAATCTTGATTGCTCAGTGTAAGGGCTATAGAAAAATGACACCACGTTCCGTTTGTCTTCCCCAGCATCGTCTGCTGTTCAAGTTCAAATGTGTCAGAAATAAAGTGATGGGATTTACTAGGTTACATGTGTCTCACATCAGTCATGTGAATTAGTAGAGAGTGGGAACCTCCACACCACTGGTGGTACCGCTCCATAGAGGGATGTACAGACTACTAGCACTGTTTTAAATAATGAAGCACATTGTATTCATATGTGAATAACGTCTATTAATTCCTAATAGGTAGGGAGAGATCTTTCAACTGTATATTAATGTTTTCCATTGATTCTCTCATATACAGCACGCCTTGGCTGGCAGCACAGTGACGGTTTCAAAGAGGGCCTTCCTGCGGCTTAATCGATCATGACCCTTTTTTGCCAGGAGCTGGCTGCTCTAGTGTTCACAAAGGAGGTCCTTGCACTGTCCACCCTGACTGGGAAGTCTGGGAAAGTGGAACCTCCTAAAAGACAACTGGACGTTGCCAAAGTGCAGGCCATAACAGGTAGGTAATTGTCTTGAGTCGTATGTAGACAATTTAAAGCTTCTGTGATTTATAAAGCAGCAGGATCACATGTTCATGGTAAACACACCACCCGTGATGAAATATGTTTGACCTGCACTGGTAGGAATATTGGCATTTCATATTGATATAGTTCCTCAATGTTAATCCTGATTTAC